AAAGTGTGCCACTCTCTGGGGAATAATTAAGGTTCAAGGAGATCCCTGCGGATAAGAGCTCTAGGACCAAACACTTCCAAAACGACAAAGAACACTTCAAAGGATGGGCTCCTCAGATGCATTTGTAATATAACTAAAGTAATCCCCAAATTCTGATTTACTCTAAAACTTTGTTCCTCATACAGAAGGGTGAGTTGACACTGAGCAGCAGCAGTTTGTATGAGCAGGATACTAGTGCTGCTCTCAGTGAAGCCCTGCCCTGCTAGCTGCCCAGGTCAATCTTTTCACCGCCTCTCAATTGAGATCTTTTATTGATCTTTTGTGTGCATGAGACCATTAATATTCAGAATATTTTTGAAAAAACAGACGTCTTCTGATGTGTCCACACCAGACGTGTTCACTCTGCATTCCTTTCTAATCCAGAGCAGCCATGAACCACAGCCTCCTCACGTCCAGCTATAAAACTCTATTCCGTGCTGTAATATGATTCACACTTTAGCAGCCCTGACATCATGTCTGGGTGGGTGGTTGGGTTTCGTAACGGCTCTTGTTTGTGCTGTCGCGTGGGAGCTCATGACCCAGAACCTTCCAGCCGAGTCTCTTTCCCATTTCACCAGCCACCAGCTGGAGCTCCAGCAGTGTCTGCAGCCCCGTGCAACAGGAACGGCACTTTAGACAAGCTCCATTGTAACAGGAATACAAAACAACAACACCGCAGGTGCTGAGCTCTTCAGGATGGCTTAGACCAGGGAATCCTAAGGTCTGAACCAGGAAGGTGGTACCAGTCACCTACTGAAGGCCTTAAAAAGACAGGAGGTGGAATTAGACTAACACTGAGGTTGATTAGGGGGGCATGGTGGTGCAGAGCTCTGGGGCCCTGGGTTCAGTTCTGGACCTGAGCTGCGATCTGTGTGCAGTCTGCATGTTCTCCCCATGTTTGCATGGGTTTCCTGCCACAGTCATAGATACACTGATAGGATGATTGGCACCTGGGAATACTGGCCCTGAATGTGTGTGTGTATGTGTGTCTGTGCCTGCTCTGTGGTGGACTGGTGCCCGTCCAGGGTGTGACCTGCCCTGAGCCCATTGCTTGCCAACACAGAGATGGGCAGTGGCTCCCCCACGACCCTGAATAAGAAGAAGCAGTTAGAAGATGGACGAATGGGTTAGGTAAAATAAGCAATTATGATTTTGGAGTGAAGCAAAACCTAGAGGCGATTCATCTCTTTGGGACTGGTCTTTCCTCATTTCTGTCAAGCAGCAATGACAGATCCTGTAGACCTTGCTGCAGAACAGCAGTGGAGAGACTACAGGCTGCGATCTGCTCTGACTGGGGAGAGATTCGGTCCGTCACAGCTACAGGAGGCCTGCTGCCCAGCGGTGCTCTGGTTTATTATCCTTCTCAAACTGAAGTGAAAGCAATCCGCTGAAAATAATTGTCACTATGTCACCATGGCTCATTCCAACAAAGGCCGATCAAATGCAGGCAGAACACAAGGGCTGTTTGAACTACTCTTCCTGTTTGGCTGATAAGTTTATCCAAAGCAACTTATATTTTCCCCATTTATAAACGAGTAGTAGTGCCTACCCTTTGATTCGAACCCTCTGCCTTCCACATGCAGGACTCTGACTACTGCTCCACACAGCTATCATGAACTAGCAATGTACAGTAGTTCTTAGTTGCTCAAACAGTGTGTGTGTTAACTCTTTTCAGACACAACAGGAGGTCTTTATTGATGTGTGCATCTCATCGGAAACACCTTCAGGGAAAAAAACCTGTTGATCCCCCTCCCCATCCCCTGTTATTCTAGAAAATGGCCGTTTCCAGGTGTTTGAGATGTTCAGCCCATGTAGCTCAGGGTATAAGGAAGTCATTAGTTAACACTGTGAATGGCAGTCAAGTCAGACTAAGACAACAAGTAATAAAATACAGATTCACAGGAGGAGAAAAAAGTGGTTGCTGTGGCAGAAGACAGAGTCATAAAGTGAGAACTGTCCTGGGAGCTCAACACTGCCCTGCACACCACATCACCCATTGTCAGACACAGGAGAGTGAATCGGGTTCGACCAGCCCCAAGCCTGACGCAGAAAAGACGAGAAGGCCTGCTTCCGGCCCCACCCAGGGTGTAGCTGTTCCCCAGACTCCGGCAGGCCCTCACAGACTCGCAGCACTCCCAGAGCAGGAATCCAGCCTCCCTCTGGACTCTCATTCTCGTTCTCCTGGAGAGGTGTCGGGCAGTGCTGAAACCCGCAGCTCCTCCGGTCAGACCCACACCTGGTCTCCACAGCACCAGGGTCCGGGCCATGAGCACCTCCGGACGAAAACGTCCTAAATTTATCAAAACACTTTAATAAACACAATCATCACAAACACAAATACAGAAATGAGGAGGAACACATTGACCAAGTTTTAATTTCAAATAATTCCATTTTTAAAGGATTCACAATGTTTGTAATGTATTTTAGATATCAACATCATGTGAAGACTGTATTTTAAGTTTCTTTTTTAAAAAGCGCCATACCCTCTTTTAGTGATGGCTCAACTTGTTGGCCATTACTGTTGAGCAGTAATTGGATGGCAGCCTTAATAACACAAGGCCATGCTGTAATGTAGCAATCATCCTTCCCAAGCACTTAACTTTATTTAAAACTGTAACAGCTTTGTTTATCACGGGGAAAACACTGACAAAAGCAGGAGTCCCATAGTCTCCTCTTTAACAAGAACCAGCTGAGAATGGAGAACACAAACCATCCTATGTCTGCCAGTTCATTTCCTGGCCCAGGGAGCCCTTGTTTCCTCTTACACAGGGCCTGACATGGCAGCACACCAAGGGAATTCTGAATGGAATCAATTGCACTTGTTACTTTAGTGAGTTTTCCTTTATTCTTGTGTTACAGCGGCCTAGATTCTCAGCTGCAAGCAATTACTGTGAAGACTTACTGAGTAATGGCTTCCAGATTGCTTCTCGATAGGGTTCTAATTGAAAGAGACAATCCTGAGTTTGGACAATGTAAATCCATTTCGGATTCTGTCACGTCAAGGCATTTTTCTTGAAGGGGGATAGTCGTGGTGGTTTGCAAACGTTCACTGCCAATAAAAGCTTAATCTGAAAACAAATTTTCTTTTCAGGGATCGTGTTGGAGACAAAGCGACCACTTTCCTGCTCTGCCCAAGCAAGATTTCAAGCTGCCCTCATTAATAGGAATCAGGTATTTAAAAAACCAGTCTATCTCCAGTCTCAGCTGCAGGCTCAAAGTGTTTCTGCTGAAATGCAATCTGGAAAACTAGTGCGCTGCAGGGTCATTTCATACTGGCTGTGAGAAAAATAGAATATTAGCTAAGATGGAAAACATTGCGTGCATAGCTGGGGAACTGGAGCTTTTTTGCAGCTATTGTTTCATGTCATTAGTGTTGGTTGGAAAGAGAGAACTGAATGAAATCAGGGTGCAGTTATTTGACTGTAGATTCTTTCACCCCACTTTTTTGTCAAAGGTGCTACCCAGCCTATAGGAAACCCAGGGGCTCAATGTTTATATCCCCTTTGAAATTTCTACTACACAAGAAAAAATCATTTTGTACTTTAAATCGTTGCATATGTTGCCTGTATCAAGGGAAATAAAATAATTTCAACACATTACAAATTCTGGTCAAAACACAACAATTTTTGCAATTGTTCAGGGAAGTGAATATGTCCTGAAGGCAGTGTACAGTATATTATATTTCTAACAAGGTAAAGTGAAATGCACGTCTTTCTTATTAAATACATCTAAATACAGTACATTCTGCTGTTAAACTGCTAAAAGACTCTTTTCATGGAATAAGTGACTGGATACGTTTGCATATATTAGTGGAAACTCATTTTTTCAGGTTACCTTTGTCAGTTTTCCAGGTACATGGTGATTGACCTTGGACAAATAATGGGCTATAAACTGCACATCACATCTGAAAATATTCATTGTCAGCACATCTTTTCCATTAAGCCTTTCAACACAGGGCTATAACTCAGGGGGTGTGTGTGCCAGTCAGACAGGCTGGAGTCTGTGCCGGGAGTGATATACCCTGCATTCATTCTTACTGTGACAAGACCAACACAGGCATGCAGGCACAAGGGCCCCAGTGCCTTGGAAACACAAGGTTTGGGCTACGAATCCCTTTTTTAACCAGATAACTCAACTGTAAACAAAGTCTTAATCACAGTCACAACCTAAGGATGGTGCATGTGTACGCCACCCTATCATACTGGAGCAGTCTGAGTGAGGCACCTTCCTCAAGGGTACAACAGCATCTAGGATTCGAACCCACAACCTTCCAGTTTTCCATCTACTATCCCATCACTGCTACCACTGCATGCTGATAAATAATCATTAAACAACACGTAACACCTTATGATTAAGTTCTCATGCGCATTTGAACTGTACTGTGTATTCTGACAAAGCTGGATTTAAACCAGCTGTGGTCAGGAAAGAGCCTGAATTTCAGGCATGCTCTGGAAGGGTCATTTCTTTACAGACCCACATATCCCTCTCAATAGCAGTAATGGGATTTTGCAGCTAAATCTACTCTCCGTACCAGAGACTTTTCTAGTGTTTAACCAGTATATAAAGACTGTCGGCCCTAAAGGTCTCATTTTGCACATCAGCCTGAATGAAATCCAGCCTTGCAAACAGCTGGGTTCCCAGCCCTACTTCTCCTGCATGCTTGCAGTAATAGACAAGGCCACATTTGCTAAAGCACACAATAAGGACTCTGTAGAACTATGAAATCACTCCAAAAATTAGCCTGAGTAAAAACTAACTTGCTACTTTGCTACTTTTAACAGCCAAAACATTTGTAGATACTGAAAGGACATTTATAGTTATGATTAAAGTAAATTATTTATAAAAGGCTGTATTTGAGAATTCCTGTTTCTCCAAATCATTCATGACACCTCACTTGTAGCTGAACAGATCCCTACAATATAAAATACAAGTAAAAACATGCTGCTCGGCTCAGTGAAGGATTGTTTTTTATTTGTTTAATTATATCATAGTCAAAGGAGACTTTGAAGAGCGATGTGTCATTAGTTCCTGTGACAGAAAACAGGCACTGAAACATGACAGTAAACAGAGCAGCCAGTCGAGCCCCAGAGCTGCAATCTCAGCTGATGAGCAGCCACTCCGTGGGAGAGACCACGCAGACATCATTTACATGAGGTGTTTATTGGATTTAATTAAATAGGAATCTGCCATGGATCACAGCCGCTGTGTTAGCTCACTGGTCTGCCAAGTGAAAAAAGAAAGAGAAATAAGACTGGCCCGCGAGAAAGCTCTTGTGCCAATCACAGAGAAATACTGTTCACGTGTGTTTCCAGCAGCTTCTTAAATGTATTGCAAATAAAGGAGCATTGGCAAACACTGTAGAAACTACAGGAGAAACTACAAAATAGGCAAATACAAGGCTGTGACAATGCCCAGCAGATGACATTAAATGTAGACTAAGGCTAGGCGCAGGTAGGAGAACAATAGCTGTAAATTTAAAATGAAAAGAACCGAACCTGGAGCAGAGATTTATGAAAAGACTGAACTTTAACTGAAAAGCTTGCTCCTGTGTTTGGAGGAGTTCTGCCTGAACAGCTCCAGCTACTCCCTATTGCAGCCTTTCCCAGCTCTGTACCTCACGGTCCGGAGTCCAGTAGGAGCTCTGTTCTGAATCGTCAACCGCCGGAGGCAGAGAAGGTGGGAACTGGCCTGTTTTACCCTCCACTGGGTCAGTGTTACCCTTCTGCCAGGTGACGAGCTGTTCATGACTTAAGGAGACGTGAAAGACCCCAAGGAGTGGAGCTGAGAAACTCTGACTCACTTACAGTCCCCCTGTAGCCCCTCTAAAACACTGAGCTGGTTTCACTGGCCATGGAGAACAAGACTGGCAATAAATTACCTAACATTTCAGCTCCACAATCTCGTGGAAGATTCACCCGGAGAGTCCCATGATACGTTCATGCACTCAGGAACACACGATGGGCACAGCACCGTGATCCACCATGACAGTTTGTTTCCTGTGTGTAACAACTGACCCGGAAGATCTTCAGCCTGGAGGAACAGAAAAGGGAGAAGTCAGTCTCCAGCAGCCAGGCTGCACTGCTCTTCCTCAGACATTGCAGCCTGCTGGGGGCAAGTAACATGGTGACCATAGTAACACACATAACAAATCTATAACTAGTGAAATACAGGCATGTGTGGGTCTGACTGTTATTGATTACTCATGCCATAGTGACATGTCTTGGTTTTCAACACTTCCACTGTCCTCACTACGACATTTCAGGAGGAATTTCACTTGCGAACTCTTCTAAGGTGAAGTAATTCACTGCCCTTTTGCAGAGAATCTTTTGATGGAATGGTTTTCACTCAGTGGAAATGGCATCTGAGGTGAGCTTGAGGAAACGTTGCCAGACATATTCAAAGCAGATTATGTAAGTTTGTAAATTCTCTGAATTATTTTGCCGGGCTAGAATGTTACCCTAATCACATTCAAAATTGCCTTGCCACCTTAAATTAATGGTTCGGTTAAAATTTTAAAACTTTGGTATTTCACAACGCCCCAGCCGGCGTATTTCACTCAAGACTTCAAAAAAAGGCTTTAAATCATGAGCCGGTAATGTTCAATTCTTCGAGTGTTTGGAAAAGCTTCCAGCCCACAAGCTTGAATCGATCAAGGCAACATGTTTCATGTGAAACAAACACTTTGTGAGCGCAGTGCCGGGCTTGTCTTTGTCAATTAGTGGCCTGTCACCAGAGGGTGTTGTCTTTTTGTAAACTCCAGCTGTGAGTTGTTACTGCTGAATTTACCCTGAGGAGCAGCTCGCCATATGGTTGATGGGCATTCAGTGCTAAAATATGTGTGGCAGAAATGCTCCTGTCAGCACTAAGTGGGTATAGGTCATGGGATTGAATACTGGCATGTAACCACTTAGTGAGTGTTAAGGGTACTTTGCCTTGAAGCTTAAAAACAACTGACTGTGTATCCAGAGGCACCAATAACTAACACAGCGCAGCTGGACTGAGGGAATCCACAACTCCGTCGCTGATCAGAAAGAAATCTGCAAGGGCTACAGACCAGTTATCTCCACCTTGGGCTCAAGCTTCCCGGGACCTTGGGTTTATTTTCCAGCCCAGGAAGGTTAAAAAACTGCACTCGACAATAGGATGAATTAAAATAATGCAAAAAAAAAAGCAAATGGCAAGAGTGATTTTGGAGAATCTCATGTAGGTCCTGAGTGTCTGCTGGATATATATTGTACATGTTGGGTGTATATTAATGGCAGGGTGGCAGGGTGGCATTCAGTGCTGCTTTCTGGGTCCAGCGCTGGCCTGGTGACTCTCTGTGTGGAGTTTGCATGTTCTCCACTGGGTCATCTCCAGGTTCCCTCACAGTTCCCTCCCCCCTCCCCAAGACATGCTGTCCAGGCAGGTCGGCAGCACTAAATCGTCCTCTGCGTGTGCTTTGTGGCTGACTAGTGTCACAAAATGAGTTACACACAGGATATGTAAGGACTCATAACATATGGAAAATGGATGGATATATAGCGTATATACTGTCTAAATTTGACTTTTTCAATTAGTTTTCTGATTCCATTCCCATAGCTAAAGAGTGAGCAGCTTCTTTTGTCCCTTTCTGGAGCAATCATTTTAACTTGACATGAGTCAGCAAATAAGAAGAATGAAAACTTCACCATCATATTCACATCAATTTCAATACCCACTTATCCAGTTCCAGGTCATGGTGGTGCAGAGCCCATCCCAGGAAGCACTATGGATGGGACACCAGTCTATTGCAGTGTATGAAATCCTTTCCTTGAAACACCCCAAAAAACATGTCACCCTTCCAGCCTGTTTCTCCCATTAACCCTGAAACGAAGGACTGCAACAGTCACTGTCCACAAGGCTCTTGAGCAAAACAACAGGAAGCAGAACTAACTTATCTTAATTATTATTATGAAAAAATATAGCTGGTCACCAGGGAGCAAGGGCTCTTCCTCACAGTTGGAAGCCAGAGTCAGAGTCAGAGCCACAGCACAGCACAGCGCAGCACAGCACGACACAGCATGGCCAGAGTCAGAGTCAGACCCACAGCACAGCACAGCGCAGCACAGCACAGCACAGC